AGACACATACAAGTGGCAAAAAAACAGAACTTTATGGCAAGTCTTTGAGAGGCCATTATTCAGCTCTAGATCAAAGTAGTCTGTAGATCCCGATAATGATTACTGTTACTGTTGAGCGATATTACAGCAGAATTGGTATGCATTTTTAAAATTTGTCTACGCTTCATGCCAATGGTTTTTTTTCACCAGTTTTCATCGTTATTAGAGTCTCTCGGTGACTTATGTCTACGGATTATGCGTGGATATCGTTGCACTGACTCGCAGCTGTGTCCTTCTGCGGCTGCCATGACTACAACGACGTTATAAGAGGCTTTGAAAGCGGAAAATTTTCAAGGTATTGTGAATGAACGACTGATATTGGCTTGAGACAAGTGCCTCGAAAGACTCTGTTCCAAACTCGGCTTATTTTCTGCCAATGTTCATACTCTGATGCAGGATCAGAAACTTTGGAGAAACTGTCTAACGCCGCTGCCTCGAATATCCAATCATCGAAACTGCTGGATAGGAACCTAAAATGCTTTATGTCAGAGTTTAGATGCATGTCAGTAGGCCAGTGTATTTCGACGTAGATGTTGGTCTCCTCTGATGCTAATTAAATTTATGAATTTGATCAACAGGCACAGGCCATGAAGCAAGTCACATTTGCATAAACTATGACTGAGTTATTTTCAGCTCGCAAGCGTGCTGTAATAAACACTTCCTTTCACAGAACCTCCAAAGTACATGCGATAGTTGCACTGCTACGCGTGATGAGCGACATGAAAATCAGTCGGGCAAAACCTTATAAATATTTTATGCTCGCCAAAGGCCACTCGCAATGCCACGCTGCTGACTACAGTACGACTGCAGTTGTCAGAGTACCTTGAGCATTGTCTCGTAGCACACATAAGTATCTGCAAGTAAGGCGTGGGAACAGATATGTGAATCGGTCAAGCGAGAGTGTGACCTACGGCGATCACTTTTTATGAAGAAACAGCTGACCAAGTGCTCAAAGGATTCGTCTCCAAACCAGTCTATTTAAGTAACCTCTTCTTTAGCCATGAGTGCTGGATGTTGAAAGAAAAGTGTCACTGTGGAATCAAGGATGTAAGCGACATGTGACATGTGACAGAGCTAGAAAAGCATCGAAATGCAGCAATTCGAGATATCCTTATATGTAAGCTGGTCGTTCTTCAGTTTGAGGGATCATAACCGCTATGGTTTAGGCATGTAATCATAACGCGATAGAAGGAATCAAAAGGTGAACTCTGCTAGCAACGCCCTTTGAAAACGGTTCAAGCGTCAGACCGAAAACAGATACATTATGTAAACTGAGCAGTTGGCATTTCCGGACAACCCTGTTTAAAATAGAGCAACGCATCGAGCCGTTCAACTTGCAAGTGTCTCTCCAGTTATTGGCTTTCTATCCAACCAGCTGGCTCGATGCGAATGCGGCTTATGGAAAAGAAGCGCGGAAGACACATGCTACCATTTCTTTGATTTAACGTTATAATAATTCAGAAAATTAGCCGTTTAAATTATGTTCATTAAGTTGAGTTAAAAATCGCTAGTGGTGGCAAAATCCAACTACGTTATTGTGGATTCGTGAAAAAGTTAATAACAAATGGTGACCTATGCCAATCAATAACATTGCTTAGCACTGAAAGGACATATACAGTATTAGGTCAGCTTTATCCCTCAGATTGGTCCTTCTTGAAAGCTATTCTGCCAACACCGCGACTCACACCAACAAAAATATAATTAAAAAAACTTGCCATACCTTAAGATGAAGAAGGCTTGAGGTATGAATCGAATAACATTGGAACCAATTATAATAGCGGAACAGAACCTATGGAAAAGTGTTTCGCCTCTTCATTAAACGTTAGCCTCAAATGTTTCCTGAATTAAGCAAGTGTAATGTAATAAGACTCACGTTAAGGGGATCAGGTGACGGAGTATTGTATCGTAGTATCATGCAGCTGTCAGCGGGAATCTGTTTTCTTGGGCTTTCCTACAAAGGTTGAGGCATGCAGTTCGCCAAGTAGGGCGAGTGTTACTGTTCTGACAAAACTTTCACGCTTCCCATTATACTGATTAATGTTGACCAGAACTGAAACCGTCGGTTTCATGGACTTCGTCATATCGTAAAATGAAGTTTGTCTAGGAGAAGGATATTAGAAGCCCTGGAAGGATTTCCAACTAAGGCTACTTAAATTAATGCCCCCCTCACCCCGTTGTCTGCCTTTGAAATGAAAGAAGAACACTCATGGACACTTTGAACCGACGATCGGAAATTGTTTGACGAGCGATAAGACCAACCGTAGAGAAAAATGACACCTTACAGTAAAAACTGTAGCCGGTCATATTTGTGCCACTATTCCTGCGAAAAGGGATTAACATGTGGTGTTTTAATTTTTGGCGTTACAA